AGAATCAGATGATGAGGATGCCAGTGTTTATAGATCTGACATCTGAGAAAGAGCAATAGCAGCCTAGCCTCAGGTCCTCAACAAACAACTTGACAGACAGACACTAGAGGCAAAGGAATGAATGACTTTGTTAAAAGCTTCTTGCTTGGCGGAAGATATTCAGTGCCAAAACATATTTTGTGCTTCTGCTTCTAATTGAACAGGATCTAGAAGTGGTTGGTGATAACAGAGTATATTTGATTTTTATTATTATTTTTTTAATGTAGAGTAAGCCATTTAATTTTTTTTTAAATATTTTGTTTAAAATTTTAATTTTTAATTAATATTTATAAAAATTACTTGTTAAATTAAAAATTTTATTTATGTAAATCATATTTATCAATTTTTATATTAATTTAACATTTATAATTTTTTAATCAAAATAACTTTATTTACTTACATAATATTAAATTTTTTATCGTTAATAAAATGATTAATCCTAGTAAGTTAATATAAAAATTTATATATAATATATATAAATAAAATTTTTAATTGGATTAAACTTTCAGGTTCAATAATTCTTTTACAAACCTGGAATGTTTGGATGATGTTAGTTAAAAATTCGATTGCCAATGAAATCCTCTATTCTCAAATTCCACCATGTTAAAAATTTTTTTTATTTAATAATTAATTTTTAAAAATATAAATTAAAAATAAATTTTAAAAAATGTCCTCTAGAAACAATTTAAGAAAACGACGTGAAAACTAGTTGTTTGGACAATTTTTTTTTTTATAAGAGTAATGGTTAGGAAGTTAGTGAATTAATTGTTAGCAGTTGATTCTCAGATCGGGTAAACATTTCATGCCTCAAATGTGGTGCACGATCATTAGGTTGCAATTTGATGGAGTTCACGATGATAGTAAAATTGAAAGCTTCGACCACCATCTCACCTAAACACTAAAACTTGGGGCAAACCATTGGACCGCAAATACCGGTTTCGTTGTTTGGACAATTTAAAAAGAAAGAAAGGTGGTAAAGCAAAAGGCCAGATGATTAGCGTTCTTTTTCCACCTCTAGAAGCAAGGAAACCTCATGGAAACTCTAAGTCATGCCAGTTTGACTATTAAACTTATTATCAGATCAGCTCAAAAATTTTCCAATATTACTCCAAGGCGAGGAGTAGTCTAGTTTCTCTCTCTTTTCTTCCGCCCTATTAAAATACCAATAATATGATACCAATGGCGTTTCTCCTAAACAGGAGAAGAAAAAATCATGTATATATCCTATTCAAAGGACGACGTAAGAAAGCGAGAGGGGCGGCCTCCGCATCACCCCTGCATCATGCACAAACGTCAGCATGGTTTCTGTAAGCAGAGAGTGGTGGGGTTTACTGCCTTTTTTCCATACCCAATACCATGGCCTCTCCTTCCTTACAGCTTCCTTTCAATTGCTTATCTCTTTCCTCAATCATCGCCTACCCCTACTTTCCTTCCCCTCTATTAAAGCCTTATCGTTCCATCCCCTGACCTGAACAAGTTATGGTCAGTTAAAGAAATCATATGGCTACTACTGATCACAAACCTAGAATCAACAAAATCAAGGCCATCAAGGAGCTTGTTGAGGGTCAGGAGTGCGCCTCCAAGCTTCAATTCCTTCTCCACAACCCTTCTCAACAGCATGCCTCTGCGTCTGTTGGAGAAGACCTTGTGCTCAAGATCCTCAAATCTTTCTCCCAGACACTCTCTGTTCTAAGTTCCTCTGACTCTGAGTCCTTCATGGAGGCGTCAGCAAATTCCCCTGATGATTCGCCTTCTGACGAATCTAGTGAGAGCAGGAAGAGAGCGCCTCCAAAGGACAGGAGGGGTTGTTACAAGAGAAAGTAATTAACTAATACCTATCTCATCTTAATTCAATATATCAATTCACATCTCTGTTACCTTAATTACAACCTAACTAAATTCTAATTAATCGTTGATTGAAATTTTAAATCGCAGAAGGAATGCACAGACATGGACAGTAGTCTCTCCCACAACGGAAGACGGTCACGCATGGCGGAAATATGGGCAGAAGGCAATTCTGAATTCTAAACACCCCAGGTCTTGTTCATCTTTCAACTCCCTCCTTCACCCCCCCCCCCCCCACCTCTGCAGGCTGCATATATTAATTATTAAATGAAAGCAATTACAAAATGATGAACAGGAGCTACTTTAGGTGCACCCGGAAGTATGATCAAGGGTGTGGTGCCACCAAACAAGTCCAAAGAAAGGAGGACGATCCACAAATGTACCAAACCACCTACATAGGCGTCCACACTTGCAAGGAAACAGGGAAGGCTCCACCGATTGTGCCAGATTCAAGTTCCTGGGACTGGGAGCCAATAAATCCGCCCAAACAACAAGAACCTGAGGATCCAGCTGTGATGTGGAAGGATCTAGCGATGGGTTTTGGTTCCTCCGACGCTGCAATAAAAATGGGGGATATTGATGATGAGGTTTCATGTAAGAGTTTGGAAATGGATTCTATGGTTAGGAGTGCGGGTTTTTACAGTAACTTCCATTTTGATGAAAGTGATGAGTTCCCTCAAGGCCTTTAAATTAATTTACTGGCTCAGTAGTTAGTCCATTTATATAATAATAACATTAGTAGTAACATATTCCATGAGCTGTAATTATATAAACTGCTCATGTCATCATATAATAGCGGTGGAGTCATTAACTGTTTTTGGTAGGGTAAGAAGGATATTTTGTTTAAGAAATAGTGTATATATGAGTAAATTAAAATTTCAATAAAACAGAAAAAAATTTAAAAAATTTTATTCTAAATAAAATTTATTAATTTTTAATAATAAATTAATAGAATTGAATTTAAATATCATTAATTGAATGATAAAATGAACATATGTAATCGGTCAAAGAACATTCTTAAAGAAGAAATGTAAAAGCACTTGACTCTTGAGGCTGACAAAAGCCAATCAGTGCATTCTCTCTCTTCGGGGGTTCGAAACTCGCTCCCTTACAAAATATGTTAAAAAAAAAAAAGAAAATAAAAAGTTATTGAGGAATACTTTATAAAAAAGAATTTTAAAAGGTCCTTAATTGTATTTGACCGAACATACGATCCACGTTCCCCAGCCCCCTTTGAATACTACCTCATTCCTGGTATTTCAAATTGTCCATACCAAAGAGTGCTAAACAACAGCCCAGTTCATTCGGTTATTTGTTTTGGATACAATGTCTTTTTTTTTTGTTCGTTTCTCGCTCGCTATCCGAGGTTTCATCCTGATTAATTTAGATTTGATCCGCGTCGCGCACCTGAAAATGGTAGGTGAATCTCCCAACGAAAGCTGCTGCATTTACAAGGTTTCAAACTCGAAACCTTACTTAAGCTGAAACAAGTCGCTTACCACCTGATTCAACCCCTTGTTGGTATTTTAGATACAATATCTTTATGCTGCATAAAAGAATCCCAACATGTTCAGGCAAGTACAGTACTTAGACGCCACCATTGAATGTCTTTCATCCAAAGTGTTGAAGCAATGATTACAATGGAGAAAAAGGGGTCTTTATGCACTACATATCTATTGCATAACCCACATGTAGCCGCTTCTATTTCTGTGTGATTATTCCTCTTCTGAGTTCTGAACAGATTAAAAAATATTTTTATTCAATTAAAATTTATTTTGTTCCATCTTTCTTACTGTTATCTAATCTTCCTTATCTCTTTCATTATTACTTACTGTAAAAGTAATCTTTAATAATAAAAAAATAACTAAAATGATGATAAAACTATTTAAGATGAGACCAAACTCCTAATTTTACAAAAGCTTAAGGGGCCTGGGCCGTCAGGTGTCTGCCAAAATGGATTATTGGATTATATATATGGGATCTCAACAACTGTTAATTAAAATTAAAACATCCCAAATCTGTTATTAGAAGTCTATAGGGTGAGCCCACAGAATGCCCTCAGTTTGAACTAAAAGGGTATTTGAAAACTATTTCCTAACAATCTGGTAGGAAAGGCATGGTAATGGTATATCATTAATGTCTATGTAAGCAAATTTGGGCTGTTCTTTGTACCCTAATTAATAATATGTTTTTTTGTTGATAAAATAAAAAAATTAATCTAGGAGAAGTAAATTAAATCACTATATCCTCAACTGATTAATTACTAGGAATTAGGCACTTTACTACGTATGTATATACCAGCTAGTTAGCTTGGATTAGCTGAATATATATGTGAATATCTATGTATATTTCCATTAAATAACTACATAGTTGGGCATTAATAATGAGCATTACTTAATTTTGTTTAAAAAACCTTCGAGATGTAGTCTATTAATATTCTATTTTTTGATGACCAGAATATTGCAACAATCAATATTGTAGTGGAAGAGTTACTTAAGGAATTAGATTTAAGAGGAGGTATGCATATGAAAATTAATCCATATATATATCGGTGTAGTTATTAAGAAAAAAAATTCAAACATGGTGATGTGCGCAACACTGCAACTTAGCAGTGAGATCGAGCATCCATGTGATCACCAGCTCTATATATGCATCTTTAAGCCGATTAATTAATTAATTAATTAGTTAAACATAGTACTCTAATTAAATTAACAAGCTAGACTAGCTAACTATGTGGTTGATGGAGCAGGTGGCAGAGCAGTCAACCAGAAGTTTTCTTGTCGCCAGGTGCTGCCTCCCACTTGTCTTCCGGAAAAGGAAATATGAACTCCATGCTATTGCTGCTACTGCTACCAGAATTGAACATTGCATCAGCCATATCTGCCACGGCCGGATAGTGATGATCAACCTCTCTGCCATATTGAACGGCGGAGGAGGAGGAGGGACCCGCTGCTCCACCCAGGGTTAGTTCCATTGGAAACAATCTCCCCACAACTGATGGT